TGATCGTATGATTATAGGGCGAATGAAAACATAGATTAGGGTGGAGACCCAAAGAGGCACAACCATTCCAGTCAACACATGAAGCTTCGTTGCCATGTATTTCCAAAAATACTTCTTTAGTATTTTTGTGGTATTTTCCATGCTCACCATGATTTGCATTTACCATGAATGTACAAAAATCTGCAATCGAAGCTGCACATAGCTCCTTCATCTTCTGGCCTCCCAAAATACTGAACTGCAACGTCGCATTAGCGCCTAAGGTGGTTAAGCAAGAAGTGGAGAAATGATATGGACTATAGAAGAGTGGCGTGGATATATTGGTCGCCTCCAGACAGTAAATAAAAAAAAACCTATTGTATAGCGGCATGTGTGTGGGTGTATCTATCCAGTTGAAGGGAGGATGTAAAGCTGGACATACACGCTAATAAAATACTTGGCAGCCTGGCAACATTATGGATATTCAGATTCATGATTCCGCTACAATAAGATCTGTATGAATATTTTGATGAACAAATCATAATCAACTGTCTCTACCCACACTCCGCCGATACATGACGCGAATTCGTACCTAAAATCTCCCAGCGTTTGAGAAGCTTCATTCCAGCCAGGGCCTTTGATTTCTTACCTTTCGAGAGGGACGCTCTACCTAAAGACAGGTCGCAGGACGGCGTGTTTCTGCTCCCCTGATTACTCATTGCCGACGGTCTGTTTGATAACTGGTCAGTCAGTCAGTCTTTGCGAGCCAAAAACACAAAATACGGCGTTTGTCTTTGAGGTGCCGCACCGCCGACTGCATTAGCGTATCCGCTGGTTGTTCCACTTCCACATTCATAAGAAAAAATTACATGGATTACTCTTAATGCCTATTGAAACTTAAAATATTATTTTTTTTCTCAAATGTCTGTTAGCATTTTATGACTAAAAACAGGATAATTTCTTTAATTAACGCATCAAGTTGTAAATTTAATCAAGAAGGACTTATTCATTTCTTATTTACTTCGTCGCCGTCGCTGATTGGATGGAAACCCAATGATATTAGAAAGAACGGCGGAACTCTTTGAGCTAGGCCCACAGACCCCACACGCCTCTGTTACTATTCTGGTATGGGCACACCGGCGTATTCAAGGGAGGGATTTGAGGCTCCTCGGAGTTTCCCTTGCCGAAGCGTAACAGCTCATTAGGCTTCTTCTACATATTACAGCATGTTAAACCTTCTGTGAAGTGTGCTACCTGGACTAAGCGAGTTCCCCCCTGCTATGCAGTTTTCTATCTCCACGACCCTGGATCTTGAGCCTCCTCCCAGATCTATTTCTGGATAACACCACTGGTTGGGCAGTATCTCAATCTACAGGAAACGATTACTATCGCGAAATCAACCACAACTGTGGCTCCTACAAATCACTTTTATGGGCACCTTTAAAATTCGGACTAAACTAGGAAATCACATATGAGTAAATTTAATGAATCCTAATTGATCATAATTGTTTTTATTAGCATTGGGAGGATTTCTGGAAAAGCAAAAAGTCTATATACTTGGATTTCTGCTTAAAGTGGCTTAACCTACCAGTATCTGTACAAAGTAAGAAGCATGTAGACCAGAAGGCAGTTTTGTATAGACACGGAAAGTGGTTAAACTGAATACCTACTGGTGAAATACTTTTCAGAGCTAATGAAATTAGTTGCAAGAAGGATAAATAGCCAGCGCTAATATGCTCAGCAGCCTGGTTAACTAGTATGCATATTCAGATTCATGATTCCGCCACAACATGATCTGTATGAATATTTTGATGAACAAATCATAATCAACTGTCTCTACCCACACGACGCGAATTCGTACCTAAAATCTCCCAGCGTTTGGAAGCTTCATTCCAGCCAGGGCCTTTGATTTCTTACCTTTCGCCTTTCATTCATACGCAATTGGTCTATAAAATGCTCAAGTTGATGATTCCTTTATTACCAACGGCAGATTTGAGAGTGGAAGGATTTGCAGCGATTTTTAAGATAATGATATATCAATTTTCCTATTTTTAAATCTTCAGAACACAACACTTGAACATACAGAATATACACACTCCTTGTAAAATCTCTCTAAGAATTCTAGTTGCTAGGCTCAAAACTCTTATTGTTATTGTAACCTGTTTATGGCATTTCCTTTCTGTAATCATTACCGTGTATGTTTAGCTTTTGCTCAGACCGCCGTAAAGGAGATCAAAGAAATAAACCGGCAATAAATTATACAGGAAAAAAGGGGGACGCTCTACATAAGGACAGGCCGCGGAACGAAGTGTTTCTGCTCCCCTGATTACTCATTGCCGACGGCCTGTCTGTTTAATAACTGGTCCCCAAACAGAGAGAGATTGAGAGATGGATGAATTTTTCTATGGTAGGTCAAATATTTGGCACTCAAGCCTAGGTTGCGCAAACAATAAATTATAATCCATCAGCTCATTGTTATAATAAGGTAGTGAGTGGTTCAATAAAAATTCAAATGATTATGGAGTATATATAATATAGTATAAAATAATAAAATAAAACAGTTAATTCCATGCAATTAAAATAAAAATAATATCCTCTAAAATACAAACAAGTAATAAATCAATCTAGAATTCTCAAAAAAAAAACAGTTTCTCTATAAATCCATAAACAAAAGTAACAAATAAACAAAAGCATTCTTACAAAAATCTAATACGGGCCACGTAGCATTCTGAAAAAAATACATATTGTTATTCAAAATAGATTTCCTTTATACATACAATGTTTCTATACTATACACTGAAAAAAATCTCCGTCCCATCCCCCAAATTGGGAATATCATTTCAAGGCGAAGCCTGACTAAGTAAGTTTTCAAAGAAGATTTGTGAAAACAATTTAGCTGCAGTTTGCTTCCAGTGACAAAAAGCACAACACGAAAATGAACAAAATGTGTTTTAGGGTAGTAGAAGAGAGAAGGGGTATCAAATGATTGACAAAAGCATTTTTGTATTTTCTGCCATGTTTATGTGATACTTCGAGCAATCATTGTACGGAGCCGATTTTAATGCATGACATATAATAAACACAATACGCTATATAAAATATCTTACCAATATGCGATAGGATGACCTTCTGCGTCTATACAGGATTGCATCCTAGTGCGCATGCTGTCCACCAAGTTTTTGCAGACATCCGTTCCCCGGAAGGATTCCCATAGCCGCCTACAATGGGTGTCGAGATTATCCCGCCTATTGGGGAGCGGTCCGCCAGTGCTCCACTTTTGGACCATTATACCACACAGGTTTTCTATTGGGTTAAGGTCTGGAGATTTTGCTGGCCAGGCAATGACATTGTAATCCTCTTGTGCAAGATAATTTCGCACCATGTGTGACGTATGAACGGCGGAATTATCTTGTACAAAAGTGATTCTACTTTGTGGATAGAGAATCCGGTATGATGGGATAAAACTATTATTTAAAATGTCCACATATTGTTGCGAGTTCATTCTGTCTGTAAATAACAAGATCATCTTATGAGGGACCGAGGTATACACACGGACAAGAAAAGGGAGCTAAAATGCAATATATTTCGGACACCAAGTGCGTGTGTGTCTGTGTGTGTGTAGGTGTGTGTGTATGTGTATGTGTGTGAACATGAAATGAACAATTTTACTTTGAGGGGAAACTGAGAACAAAACCTCAAGAATTTTTCATATATGTTTTTACAGTTTCGGGTGATGCTAAAGAAATCACAAAAGTAGATCTCCAAAACTGGGGATTTTCGTGCAATGCATATGTTATATAGAGTCTATTTATTGTATTTTACTGTAATACCTAAAACTCATTTTGTGGTTTGGGTCTGGGCAAACGAAACCACATATGTTTGAATTACTTTTTCACTGACGTTTCGGACACCACGGTGGCTTTTTTGGATATTTTTTAAAATATATAGATTAGAACAAGTAATTTAAAACATAATATATGTATGTGGTTTCGTCTGGTCAGGTAATTATCGAATCTTATTGCATTTTCTGTCCCCTACCAAGTCCTAGGAGGGATATGGTATAATACCAGTAATCTTTCATAAAAATTAGCTTTTCCAAGAAATTATCCGATATCAACAAAACCATCTATTGTGATCATTATTTAGATGTTAGCAATTTTATACTGTTACTTAAAAGCCTACTGCAGTGACATAACTTAGTCGTAAAAAAATACTCTAAAGCAAGAGCTGCTATTTTGAATTTTGATGCAACGCATTCGGTAATTCGAAATGGTTTTGTATTTTAATATAACTCTTATGGGTGGTGCAATGCCGGAAACAATCAATTGTGCAAGGAGTAAACTAGATACTCGTAAAATAATGAGCACGCAGCGCTACGACGAAGTCGATCAAGTGGTTCCACTAGCAGCTCTTGCTAACTTTAGAAAAGTATAGTTGTAACTTAATTATCTCTTACCAGTTATACTAACTAAATCCCCTGGTCCATCCGCCGTCATCCACCCCCAGTATCCCATTGTCGTCCGACCCGTGGTTCTGTTGGGGATTATGTTTGCTGGGTCGTATCTAGTGTTGTTCCGACGCCATAGCGGCGGTCGGTAATCCGTATTAGTACAAAAATTTTTTTCATCGGAGAAGACTACGGTGCTCCAGTCCCTATTCAGGTTCTCCTGGCAGAACTGTAGTCTTCTCCTTCTATGATCCTCAGTGAGCAATGGCTTCACTGCCGGTATCCTTCTGTGGATGCCTTCCTTGTGCAGATATCTACCCACTGTCGTTCTATGACACTGTAGCCCCAGTCTATCTCTCATTGCGAGCGCACTACAAAACCTATTTTCGTCATTGAACGCAATCAGCCTGCTCACGTCTTCATTTGATAAGACGTTGCGTCTGTGGACATTTGACCTGTCGGTTTCCAAACTGCCACCTTCCCTATTCCGCCTAATCCAGTTTTGGACTTGTCTTAGCTAATAGAAAAAGTAACATTCAGAAAAGTGTACTATGATCAAAAAGACTGTATAATTTACCGACATATCAAACTGATCTGCTATCTCCGCGCTGGATATTACCATCTCATAACATTTGATGATCATTCGTCTCTCACGCGGGGTTGTTTGTTGTCGAGACATCTTTCTTCTACAACACTACTGCGCTCCAGAACACTCAAACAACAACTGAGAACTGATTATCGAGGCTAAATCCACTAAATGTAAGAGTTAAATAGAAAAATATGACTTTTTTTCTAGCTACTGTCAATTTCTTTGTGAGCCATAAACACAAAATACAGCTTTTGTCTTTGAGGTGCCGCGCCGCCGACTGCATTAGCGTACCCGCTGGCTGTTCCACTTCCACATTCATAAGAAAAAATTACATGGATTACTCTTAATACCTATTGAAATTTTGTTTCTCAAATGTCTGGTAATATTTTATGACTAAAAACAGGATAGTTTCTTTGATTAATGCATTAATTTGTAAATTGAATCAAGAAGGACTTATTCATTTCTTATTTACTTCGTCGCCGCCGTTGGCTTAGTGCAATCCCAATGTCTAAAGTGGCTGAACCTACCAGTATGTCTACAAAGTAAGAAGCATGTAGACCAGAATGCAGTTTTGTATAGACACAGAAAGCGGTTAAAATAAATACTGGTGAAATACTTTTCAGAGCTAATGAAATTAGTTGCAAGAAGGATAAATAGCCAGCGCTAATTTCGTAAACTGAACGTTTTTCATATTTATATTTTATACGAGAATGTTCAGTTTCCAAACGTAACTAAGTTCGGTAGCCTAGCACTTACGGCTTGTCTATTCAATACCAAACATCCAACCTACCATATCAGAATTAATCAAACAACCTGCTTCTCCCTGAATATTGAAATTTGAAAGAAATATTTTGATTTACACAAGCCTGAAGATATATTACAAATAAAGATTTAATCTGATTTGAAAATCACACCATATTGGGAATTTAATTAAGCTTACACCTGATCAACAGCAATAGCCCACCGCCACTGGAGACAACCAAGCCACGCGCCTCTATAGAATGCGGTACCTTTTATCTATAATTTATTGCTCGGACATTACCTTCCAGTATCAATCTTGCTTTTTAGACTGTCTTCGGTGCTAATACAACGTTGCAATTCGGTATTTTTGGAGGCCAGAAGATGCAAGAGGTATGTGCAAGTTGGATTGCTCATCTTTGTACATAGTGGCGGTTGGTTTTTCAATTTGACTAATTGTTACCGGCTTCCAAATTTTTCAAAAATAGTAATCATACTGGTATGTTTGGTATTCCAAGGTTTGTATTTTTTTAAGTTATTTGTTGTCACTTTTAGCTGCTGCTGGAAACGTGACATCGCAACAGCCAAGAAGACGACAGAAAACTGTATTTTCTTATGGATTAGGAGGGCCAAAGGAATAAGAAATAAGATCCTGTGAACTGAACATATATAACATTCAGAGAAGAAATATCCATTTGGTTTGCCAATTACATATAATATGTAAATACAACTACAACTACAAGATTTTGAGTTCACTCTTGTGTTTTTGTCACACATTTATGTCCCGCAAAATGCTCGAATGGCTCCAATTTTAGTTGCTTCAATTTTTTAAATTACGCTTTCATTTTTCAACGATTGTTGATTTTACTCCATGTTTGAATAAATATCCATTCCAAGCACGTGTTAAGTCCATTTTGAACAACTTTCATGCTGATTCAATATTTTTAGAGATACATACTTGAAAAGGCTTAATATGAACTGTGTCCACATAAAGAGGAAAATTCAGGAGAGTTTTTTGAAAAATGAGCACGTAATTTGAAAAGCACCAACAATTATCGGCACTTCATAGTTGGCTTTGATCTCCATTTAGGTAGTTTTCTTAGTTGTCTCCTACAGTGGACGTATATTTCTACTATGCCTGTTTATGGATGTACACAGGATGTACATTTTACTAGAAATCAACTAATAATCAAAACGTTATAGTATGTTTATCTGAATATGCAATAAAATATGGGGCGTTAGGCTTTTGCAGATTTGACAGCTTGTTACGATTTTTTTTTAAATGATGATTGGTTGTTGAGTTATGAGCGACTCCTGCCAGTTAGCCATTTTGTATTCCATCTGTTATTATTTGCTATTGTTATAAGGTTCCTTGTTGCTGTTGTTTCTTTTGTTTTATTTATGCGTTGCTCTCTCAGTCTATTAGTGTTGGTAAAAATGCCTAAATTTGGTGTTCCACTATCGAGAATACTATAAAAGCAAGGTTAGCATTTCGCAGCTTTATTATACAGAAACCGTCTATGGTCCCTGCTAAACGAGAATATACTGGGCGGCCCATTCGTATTGGTGCAAATATATTTTTTTATAAAAAGGGTCTCAACACCTCATTTTGCTCAAGCAACTATAATCTACAGTCTAGGAACTACAATTTTTCTGAGATGCATTCCAATAAACACCGTTTTGATATCTTTCGCAGCTATCGATAATTCTTTTTTGGTAAAGGAAGCAGATAATTCTGTATTTTTCGGCGCTTTTTGGCGTAGTCTGCTTAATTTCTTTATGATGTACCATGTGTGTAGTTGATCTCGTGGGGATATATATATTAGAGAGAGAGAAACAATTATCTGCCGGCTGTCTGATTTGGTGTACCTAACCAACGGATCTTCAAGGAGGGCTGATAAAGCTTGTCACATTCGTTATTCCATTACGGGATGTAGTCCTTTCATAAGTCACTTGGAACCCATTCATACGCTGTTGCAATAATGCCATTAACAAAACTACCACGATTGTTAATTATAGAAGATCTTGTGAAAGGCGATCTAGATTACTTTTCGAAAATTCAACCTCGATCTGGGAATGGGCCTAATTATGGGTATTTGTATTCCTGCCTTCTACAAAATAAGGCTGCGTTGACTGTGTGGAAAGTCTCCGAGCAATTCTCTCACAATATTGAGGAGTTTACTTAAAGTATATTGTGTTACAAAGCACTGGTCGGGATGGTACTCCCTATTCCACACTGCGAAGCTAAATGTGCCCCAGCCATTGGCATCATTCATAAAGCTTAGGCTTCAGACCATTTTTAAAGCACGTCTCTATTAATTCTTATCCTTACTGTTGTATTTCCACATAGTGTGGTTGCTATACCCTGCTTCACGAGCATCCATCACGCTTTGACGTTTACAGAGGTGAACAGCTGATCTGCAAGTGGCATGATTATCTGCAACGTTGGCAATAATAGCTCGGGTATAAATTTAGTAAAACTTGATTGTGGCGTTTTGTTTTTTGTATGAAAATGAAACTTTCCAAATAAAAGAGCTATTAGCAAGTACAAAATGAATCTGTAGCGTACAAAAAACCAAAACAAAATTCGTCCGTCTACTTGGCGTTGACGGATCCGTCAGAATTATGTGTCCTGTGCCGATATGGGGAATTTTGATTTATTACTAGAGAACCAGGTCATTCTACCGTGATGGACACTCGGGAAATAATATCATAATCACATAGGTAGATTCCAGGATTGTTAACTGGCGCCAGGACTTCTTCGACATTTGTTATTGATATATCTTAATTTTGTATGGTAATGGCATTTACGTTCTTCTCAGGACTAGACCTACCTAAGTGGGTATCGCCTGTGTTTCTGCGAGCATAGTAACTCATCCATAAGTATGCTGAAATGTAGCTCCCAGTACTTTTTATCCCAGTATTCCCCCCTTTTCTCATCTTATCAAGGATTCTGCATAAGTGTTCGGATCTTTTTTCTCGCAAATTATATATTTCAAAAATAAGTACCTACTACAGATAAGATCAACATATTACAAAAAATATATTTTCTGCCCCCTGTTTTCTCCAATGTAGGTCTCTTAAAACATCTACCAATTTTGCCAAGTGGTGACTCTCAATTTACAACAAAATAAAAATAAATTTAAATACTTGCCATAATAAATTCTGAAGCTTTTCTACTACATCTTAGGCTTGAACTAACGATCGCACATGATTTAGGTTGGCAACAGATGAATCAAAAACCAGTTTCCCCTAACAACTACTTGAATGCTAATAGTACCAACTTCAGACACCACTTCTAACCTTTTGACCACGTTAGCATTTTGAGGTTCTTCCAACGTGTGACATAGAAAAGTTTTATCAATTATTTAATTCGTTTGTATTCTATCAGTAAAACATAGCCATGTTTTGCATGGTTTTTGTTTTCAGCGCCTGATAACAACAAAGACTGTCGAATATACAATTCTCTAAACGGTGCTTCAAGAACTGATATCGAGAATATTAACAAAATAATTCTAAATGCGCTTAGTTTATATTTTACAATATATATTATTTGTTACGAATGTAATGCTTCAGACTTTTTACAAAACACGTGTTTTTTATTCATTCTGACAGCTAATTGTCTTGGATGCTTGCGATATAGGGTTATTCAGACCAATTTTGTGTTAATATTAAACTGGTAGATACACATATGTGTTCTAGTACTATAATTATGTATATCATTGGTGAAAAGTGTTTCTGTATTGCACTTTTCGCTTTATTTATTACTTTGTATATAAATTTACATTGTTCTTATTCAAGTAACTTCTCATATAGGTAATGCTTGTATATAAATCAGTCCAGATTAAATAAAATGCTTAATGAGTTATTTTGAACTATTTGCACCTTACTAAAATTAACCTTTACACACACTTCCCATACTGCTGAAGGTATGTGTAAAGGCCTTAGCCACGATACGAAGTTTTGTGCTAAATTGAGTACGCCAAATTTCGTACAAAATCAAGGATAGCGTCAGACAGCATTTGGTACAATAATTTGGTATGAAAAAGTTGGGTGCTAAACTTTTAGAACCTGCTCTAAATAATACCATGCAATGGCTGTTCTTCATGAGATGGACAACTACAACGCAGATCGCTGCTGCCGCAGTCATTTATAATGTATGCGAATTACGGGATCGCTCGGTTCTCTACAATTTTCCATTTGTTTAAAGTAATAAAGCAGCGAGCCGCAACATACAGTCTGGTTAGAATGACTTTGACGTGATAAATGGCAGTACGAAGTTGACGGTTATAGATTTTCTACTGGCTGTGCATGATTTTGTACGAAATTTATTACAAAAATGGCTTTGCGTG